TGTGTAGAGGTTTGGCCAACTTCTTTCATGTTTGTATCCTGTGGTTGGGTAGCTTTCAATGCTGATTGTCCTCAGTGATTGTTTGGTGTATGGACCACATAATTCTTGTGGCCTGTGTACAGTTTTCCCATGTTCTCATAATTTTGTGTAATTATAGGGGGTGGATGTAACAGGTATAGAAAGTATTATGTTCATATATATATAGAATTACTCAAAAAAATTTCAAATGTGTACCTGATATACCTGCCTGTGCGTGTGTGTGTGCACCTTCCCCTTTAAATTTCTGAATGCAATGTTGATCCTAATTTCCTGTCTTTGCACCTCCTCTTCCCTTTCTGCACTGTCTCTGCATGGGAGAGAAACAAAAAAGGAATTCACACCATATATACATACTCATGTCTTATCAGGTATGCTGCTTTGTTACTAATGTTGTTAAATTAATTTATTGCTAAAATGTCCCCTTTCTGCACTGTTTCTGCATGGGAGAGAAACGAAAAAGGGCGAATTCACACCGTATATACATACTCTTATGCCATACCAGATTAAAGAAGAGTTGAGCCGTCATCTGATGTCCGTCTGATTATTGCATAAAAAAAACACAACGCAGACTACACCGGTTACACTAGCAGCTAGAACGGTCTAGTATGGTCCTCGAGAGCTTGGTCTCCCTGCTCCAGCAGGAGGAGGAGGAGGTATTCGGGGCGAAGAAGGGCATACATCAGGGAATAACAGAAAAAAAAGACACTGAGTGAAAAACAAGAAAACAAACGGAGGGGAAAACACGGAGGTAACTGTTTTGGTCGGTTCTTCTGTCACAATCTGTGATGGCGAGGACCGATGGAGACGAGGAATAAACGCAACAGTCTTTAATAAAGTCAACTGAGAGTACATCCAACACTGGGGACAGCAGGAAACACATCAACGTAACGAGTAGAACCGACAGAGACAGACTGCACAGACTAGGACTTAAATACAGGGGATGATTGGGGAAACACAGGTGTATGGGATGACTAATTAAATTAACAAAACTAGGACAGGAACATGACCAAATAAGGGAACAGAAACAGGGGCAAAACATGACACAGACAGTCCATGATCCTGACACAAAGAGTGAAATAAACCATTATAATATGTACTGTCAAAATAATTTTTCAGTTTTTACATTTTTAGGTGAATTTTTGTCACTGAACAGTGCCTAATTGTTCAATAATGTCTAGTATTGTTTTTTTTCAAATGTTATTGTACTTTGTTGTGAAGAGCATGAATGTGGTAATATAAATACCAGACCTATGATGTGTAAAATAAACAGAAATAAAGGTATCAATAAGATATTAAAAAAAAGGTGTCAAAATTATAAAGGTATAATTTTGTCCAATATTTTAAGAATATATCAAAATATTATGCAATTGCGTGTATTTTGGATATACGAAATGCTAGCAACATTATCTTTATGAAGACAAAACTGGCCATTTCTTTTCCAAAATGACCACCAAAACTTTCCACCACCGTCACTTCCACCATATAATTCTATTAAATATACAATCATTTGAGATGCGGTTGTAATTACAGAATTAACTAGTTTCATGGTAAGATAATGTTTACATTTTGTATTTTAACATTTATATCCCGCCGTAATGCCTCGCCTCATAGGCTTACATTTAGGCCTACATTACTGTAAATGTGTTTTACTCCATTTTGCAGTCTTTGCATCACCGATACATTGATCTTGCCTTGTATTGAACCCAGAACATTTCTGTAAATAGCCTAAACAGTTTGTGTGGTCTTTTAAGGTGCGGTGACAGTTACCGTTGCTGTGCAAAATTTCGCGGGCGAATTGAATTCCATTCATCCGTGCAACTGGGCGAAAAACTTTCCCTCGCGTGATTTAATTCATGTTAAAGTTGGTCACGCGAATTTGGGCTCGACCAATAGCAACCTGTTTCTTTGGTCTGAAACTGACTTCTTCATTCATCGCTACACTATTGATTGACAATAGAATTTGGACAGTTTTTTGCCTCGAAATTTCGCGTAGGCCTACATGTGATCGCACCTTTAGAATATGAAATATCAGGTCAGCCACATTTTCTTATGAAAATTATTGATGAAACAAAAATACAAACCCACAAGGGACGGATGGGCCATATGAGATTTGGTTCTCAACTGGAAGATTAAAATTATTATTTCTTGCTATTTATATCTAATGTAAGCCTATTCCTTTGTCCAAGAAGTTTAAAGGGCCTGTTACGTTCTAATTATTCAAAAACTTAAGGCACTGGGGTAAGACTTTATGTTCATTTTCCTTTCGAACATGAAGTCATGCACCAAGAACTCGATAGATACTTCCTTTAGTTCAAGCAGATGTATTTTTACTGTTTCAGCTTGAATTGAAAGCCTCTTCATAGTCAGCATGTTCCTCAGTCTGATTATCCCTTCAGAGAATAGCTTCATACAAACCAAATTTCTTCTCTGAAAGGGCCCGTCCAGTTTTCCATCACGGAGTGGCACAGAGGGATGATGGGTAATTCCTGGATGGAAAATCTGCCATTTCATCAAACGCAGTCATGTCTGTCCTAAGCCCACAGCCATTATTACGACTTACTCAAGGGCTAGTGGACCTTTAGTGCCACACATCTTCTGCTGTATAGGTATATATGTGCTTGTATTCATTATATATTGTGTATAATTGAAAAAAATAATAATTAGAGTGGTCCTACAAACTTATGTTTGCTTGTCAGTACATTCAGCTATACACTTTAATCATATTTCAAAGACAACAAAATTATATAATTACATACAAAGATATACTAAAGTGGGTAAAAAGCACTCTAAAGTCCAGCTAACTGCCAGAGATGGGTAGATTACTAACAAATTGTAGTCTGTAGGGACTGATTCCAAATTACGTGATAAAAATTGTAGTGAGTACCGTAATCCATTACATTACACATTTTAGGTAATGTAATCAGACTACTTTTAGATTACTTTTGACCAACTTGTTAATCACATTGATTTGAATAGGATAATCTTACTATAAAAATACAATGAGAATAAAAAATATATTCAGTTTGTTGTTATTAACAACATGAAGTGCATTAAATATAACGGTTTCCCAAACTGGGGCTCCTGAAGGAACTGCAGGGGGTTTGTGAGTTTAACGAAAAGCTAACAATTAATTAAATCATAATGTAAAATTAAACTAAATCATTTTAAAATAACAATCAAAACAAAACACTTACTAAAAAAGATGAAATATTTTATTTATCTGCATGTCATGTGACCATTAACCAACATTAGAGAACCGTGAACATGCAAATGTGTTATTAACGTATTCCCTTAAAATCTCAGGAGTACTTAAAGTAAATATATTAGGTGAAAGAAGTTCGGCTGACAAGTAAGGTTGGAAATCCCTGCTTTACACGTAAATAAGAAATAATGTGAATTTGTGCACTTTAATGTGTTTGAAAGACAAAAGCTTTTCAAAGACTTGTGTGCATGTGTAATCAATAAAAAAGTAACTGTAGTCTTAATATATATATATATATATATATATATAACATTTAAAATTTGAATATAATCTAATTACAAGTACTTTATTTTTGGATTAGTTAATGGAATCAGTTACTAGTGTTGCTAGCTGCATTTAATATACATTTAAACTAATATATTTTCATTTAATTGCAGTCATCATGAAATTACGTGCCCAAAACATAATTCAGTTCACACTTATCTGTATTCTTTTAAAGTAACCAATATTCATTATAGCTACAATATATTTTAAAATGGAAGTTCCTTACAAGGGGATTATCATATTTTCTGGGGTCCTTGGTATTGAACAGTCAAGACCCGTTCTACAATTAAGCAGTAACTAAGCAGTTGTAGTCCCTCTCCTGTAAATCAATGAATAAAATTAAACTTTATAAATACGGTCTTTTTCTTTCATTGTTTCTTGCTTCATTGAAAATGACCTGCATGTGTTGCATCTTGACCTTATCTTGACTGTATTCCAGTTAATGGAAGGCTGAATTATAATATGAGGCAAAAGGACATCAAAAGTCCATTACAGAGGAAGCCCAGTGTTATACTGCCCTCTGATGGACTGCACACTGAATTTTGGGGGGGGGTGGGGAGTGATATTTTCAATTAATATTCATATGTACAGTGGTAATATCAAACTAAAACAATAATCAAATAAATATATCAAATATATGAATATTCATAGTACTTTCAACTATCTATCTTAAATTATTTCAGATGTTTTTACGAAACCAAACATATCATCTATTGAATATTGTTTAAATTGGTCATCACTTTACAGATTTTGTCCATTTCCGAGCTAAGTGCTTTTAGAAACAAGCACACACACACACACACACACACACAAAAACACACACACAAACACAAAAACACACACACACACACACACACACACACACCCACACACACACACACACACACACACACAAAAACACACACACACACACACACACACACACACCCACACACACACACACACACACACACACAAAAACACACACACACACACACACACACACACACCCACACACACACACACACACACACACACAAAAACACACACACACACACACACACACACACACCCACACACACACACACACACACACACACAAAAACACACACACACACACACACACACACACACAAAAACACACACAAATCAGAATTTTTTTTTTCAATCATATTGTATTTTCAAATTTTAATAATTCATTATAATATCAACAAAGAGCATTAAACTGAACCTTAAGTTGTTAAGCTTGACCAGAGCATATTTCTCCAAGTCTGTTTTACATTTTAGTGTGTTAAATCCTAAAACTTGAATGTGGCTTAGTTGATGACTTGGCTTTCTGAAACCCTGCTGGAACACCACTTTGCATCCCGTAGGAAACCATTTATACCTTTAATATACAGTGTTATATTAAAGGTAATATATATATATATATATATATATATATATAGATATAAAGGTAACAACAGACAGAGCAAACCATGACCATTACATTCATTTATTTGAACACTGACATTATACTGAATGCAAATTATAATACTGAGGCATCATTCACCTCACAAATTTTGGCTTTGCTCCCCACTTCCCCCTCCACAAACAAATCTAACCTCAAATTATGAAACTAAACAGTTCTGATCAACCTATCATTAACTATCATATATTTCAATCGCTATACTTGAGGGTTAAACCTGCTAGTTCTAGTAATGAAAGCACCACTAGTGTTACTCTTGACAGCTCTTTTACTTTTTCAGCGTTTTTTCCTTCTCAAATTCAGAGACTTGACTGAAAATGTCAAACAAGTTGGAAGGGACATCTTTTTTGAGGGTTACACCTGAAGACTTCCCGCCATCATCTTGACCACGACTATTTCTCTCCGCTCTATCCATCTTCTCATTCCCGCCTCGCTCCGACTCGCTACGTTTTCTGCCTTGCGAGGAAAATTCCTTAGTGTGTCGCTCAGATCTGTGGGAGTATTCGGACTGGGTTGAAGAGGAAGAATCCCTCCGGTTTCTGGCATGCTCAGACGTGCTCGGAGTCCTGTGTCGATCTGTAACTTGGCCGTTCACACCAGGACGTCCCAGTCTAGACGCTTCAGGCTGGGCTCCATATGTGACGTTCTCCAGGCTTCTGTCGATAGCATCATCTAACTTACCTCTGCCGTCTTCGTGTCGGCTTTTGCCCCAAGACTGTTCTCCTTCGCTGATAAGTTTGCTTATGGATTGTTTCTGGTCGATGTAGGAAGCGGAGGTGTTAGCAGGAGCGGGAAACCACTCTGTGTCAGCTTCCGCCGTTTTATCGCTACAAGACGACACTCTCCTCTTGTGTTTCTTACTGCCATGAGATGAGCGCCGGCGCTTGTGTTTCCGTTTCTTCGGTTTTTTGCGACTCGATGGAGGCGAGTCGTCGCTTGTAGTTGAGGACGTATCTGAAGATGTAGAGAACGAGGTCGACCGCTTCCTTTTCTTCTTCATTCTAAATGGAAGCAAACATCACGCTGAAACGAGCAGGGCATTGTGAGCGCCCATCAGAAAATGGAGCATCAGCAAAGATTAAAACAGTAAAATAGAAGAGTTCTTACCTTGTTTTGATGGAAGAAATACTCAAAGATTTCAATGGTCACATACACAATGCAACGTTTGTGCGACTGATTTTATAAATCAGGGCTAGGCAATATAGTTTAACACTTTCTGGCTTTCACTAAGCTAGAATTTCTATCTTTTTCTTTTTTTGTTTTTTTTTTTTGCTAAAAAGTAGTCTCTGTTCTTGCGATGCATGCTCAGATTTATTCAACAATATATTCTGGGGACCATGGAAATTTTGAGAAAATTATCAAAAATGCTGGCGGTGACTGGCAACTTTTTTTTTTTTTTTTGTAAATGCTGACTGGGAAAGAGTAAATAAAAATGTTAATATTTTTAGATTTTGAAGATATTCAATATATGTATCTCACTAGTTATGTTATATTTATGTTAATAGTTATGCATAAGTGATGGACCAAAATTTATTTTTTTTAAACCCAAAATAACGTTTCACTAAATTTGGGTAATTACACTCTTTATGCTATTCAGAGTGCTGTATTCTCAGTCGATAAATTAAACTATTTGCATTAAATTAGCCAAAGAGCCTCTCAATATTTCAGCCGAACAAATTTTCACATAACTGCAATTAATGATTTCAGCTCTCCAAACCCATTTCGTCTAAAAGCGAAAATTTATTCTTTTGCCGTTTCAGCTGAATATTTTTGGTTGCAGAAATGTTAGTGCATTACTAACATATGGACTCCATAAGCACTGTGACAAACAAGTTGTTAAATCAGAGCTCTGATACACCAAATCAACAGAGCTGATTCACATAAACCAATCAAACGTAGAGTACAACTCAAATAGCACTACAAGAATGGATTGTGAAACTAATGTCTCAATCTTTAAGAAACATAACGGCCAATAATAGTGCATTTAAAAATACAAATGAAGTGCATCATGGTATTTACAATATTGCTTAAAGGGATAGTTCACCCAAAAGTGAAATTTCTGTCATTATTTACTCACCCTGAAGTTGTTCCAAACCAAACAGTTGACGGTAGTCATTGACTTCTATAGTATGGAAAAAAATACTATTAATGGCTGCCGTTGACTTCTAAATATCTTCTTTTGTGACCAGCAAATGAAACGGGTTTGAAACAAGCGAGTACATTTTCATTTTTGGGGGATCCATCCCTTTAACATCATGTCACCAGAATAATTATGGCAAATACATTGTGAATATTCAATATATTGCCCAGCCCTATCTTAAATGTTGAATTGTTTAATGCGTGTATGGAAATGCTCAAGCTCTTTTAAATAAGATGTATTCTGACAGGCTGTCAATCTTTTTATTGTTCATCAGCTGAAAAAAAAAAAATCTGAAACTCTGAAAGTGATTCCAACGATATTGTTCCTCTGTTCCTCTTATTATTCACATTATTAATATTAATCAATTATAGTTGTCTTTCTTGGTGTGAACGGCACTTAAATGCCAAAAAATATGAATGAGATATGCAGAGCAATTTTTATACTCTTCCTAATGTATCACTATTTTGCCCTTTATTTGCTCTCTTTGCACTTGCTGCTCTTCCACTTGTTGGAACACTGTTTTCAACCCTGAAAGGTGGTTTTCAAACCAGTTTCAGACCAGTTTCAAACCAGTTTTTTTTTAATCAGAGTGTTTTATTGCATGCTAGTCACACAAAACATCAGCTTTTCAGGTACATGGGCAGGGAAT